TTACGCTAAACCAATTAACCACGAGTGCTCCAAACCAGTCGATATTTAAAAGATCAGTAATACTCTGAAAAGCATCCGAAGACAACCTGCCAAATTAGATAATGTCCAAGAAAACTGAAAGCTTGCATTTATTCATACCATTTCATTAAAACTTGGACACGAGGTCACGGACAAACCTCTCGCAGATTTTGGCACATTCAATGTTACGTCCATAGACCTCAAGACGCAGCGTGAGCACCAGACCAGATTTATCATGTGACCCAGCGTGATGGGAGGGGGTTAAGAGGAGAGAGATTATAGATCTTGTATTTCCAATATTCAAAGGAGAAGTATTGGGAGAATAAAATATACTCTTCCCAGGGTCAGATTTACTCTCTATGCTGTCCCAAGGCAAGGTTCCTCAATGCGCCCCCCCTGCCTGTCAAAATATTTTACTTTTTTATCACTTTTTTTAATTAACTTTTTTAACTTTTATAAATTTGTATCTTATCTTTTTATTATCTTTTACTTTTTTTATAATTTTTTAATTTACTTTTTTCTTATTATCTGTTATCTGATAATTTTTTACTTTTTTATACATTTTTTATGTTTATTTAACCTAACTTTATTGCTATTACACAGGAGCTTACAAGCCCCTGTGTGATAGTATTTGGAGGTGACAGGTTCTCTTTATTGAACCTGTCACCTCTAATACAGGGGTTTGAGCACAGTACTGTGCTGGCTCTTCTGCGACAGCTTAGATGGGAAGGTTGCGAGTGCAGCTCTCCCGTCTCAGTGTTTACACGGAGCAGAGTTGAGAATGTTGAACGATAGGAATTCCACATCCCTGCCACCCCTCCACTTCCTGCCGCCCTGAGGCCAGGGCTCGGTGGCCTTGTTGGAAATCCGGCTATGAGTCTCCCCAATACTAAGAGCCAACGTGTGACACTCCAGCTGTCACATGCCAGCTTTATAGCTCAGGAACTGAGCGATCACAAACCACTCAGCGCTCAGCTCATGGCTTCTGCCTGCAGATAGCAATGACTGTCATTCCAAGCTCCCGACAGGGATTCCCCCCTCCCCTAGCTCTGATCCTCCAGTGCTCATTGGAGGGACAGACAGGGGAGAGGGCAGGTACAACTGGCTCTGGATCCAGAGAGGCAGAGCCAGCTGTCAATCAGATAGAAGGGTGGATCCTGACATTATTGTCAGGATCTTTTCCTGACTGCAGCGCGGCTCTGCCCAGTAGCCCCCTATATGCCGAGTTTTGGGGCACAGGGGGACATTAATAAATATACTCCTGTGACCCAAAAAAGACCTAAAGCCTATAGTTCTCTTTTAAAGGAACACTCCAGTTTTATAACCTACATAATAATAGAAGCCCTTTTGTACTTTATCGTTGTTGCAACAACCTCTTTATTTCAATCCGTGAGCAGGAGATGCGCTTTTATGTAATTAAAAAAAAAAAAAAGTTCTCTTTCACAAACCTATGACCGCACTCTTCACGGCTGTGAGTTAGGATTTCCCAAAATCATCATCACCTCTGCTCCACTATCTATTTTATTCAGGACTTGATGCAAAATATAGGCAAGCCTCTGGACTGGAATATGGCATCCCTGACACAGATCAGCCTCCTGCTGCCTCCTTGTGACTTGCTACATAGTTGCAATGTTGTAATCTGCTCACTATGGAAGAGGAGACTGAGGAAATGCTACCTCCTGCCTGCAGCAGACTGGTGACTTCATCTTAGCTTAGGCCAGGGGTGGGCAACTCTGGCCCTCCAGCTGTGCTTTAATTGCAATTCCCAACATGCCTCTGCATTTGCGAGGTATGCCTGCAACTGTCAGTCCTGCAATGCATCATGGGACTTGTAGTTTCACAATAGCTGGAGGGCCAGAGTTGCCCACCCCTGGCCTAGGCAATGTCACTGGACTGGAGCATAAGGATTGCCTTTTAATGGTAAAAGTTGGATCTTTTTGATAAAAAAAAAAAAGTGCTGTTGCTGTATATTGTGACACGTGAGTTATTTGTTCAAGCACACTTGTAAAGTGACCGAAAGGTTCACCTAAAGCTTACCTCAATGGATGAGAGCTTCATCTCTAGACATTCACCTTGAGAGCTAAACCTCTAAAGAGATCCCAGGGCTGCAATGTAACCATATCACTGGAACTGAGTATAGAAAAAGCAGAACTTTCCACTTAACACTCATGTTTAAAAGAGAAGTATGGGGTAAGTGTTTTCCCCTCCTCCTCCCGTGACCCAAAGCTCAGTATATTGCGAGCTACAGTTCGTGGTATACTTAGACCGTCACAGCTGGGACGGATCCCGACATTACTGTTGAGATCCACCCAGCTGCGTGAGTGACAGCCGGCTCTGCCTAACTAGAGGCAGAGCCAGCTGTGCCCACCCCGTCCGTTCCTCCAGTCAGCGCTGGAGGATCGGACCAGGGAGGGGGACGAGTCCCTGCGGGGAGCGGTGACTGACAGTCACCCCTCTCTGCAGGGAGATGATCGAGAAGTGAGCGAGCGACGGTATGCGTTGGCTCACTTCCCGATCTATTGAGCCGACGCGTGACAGTTTCATTGTCACACGTCGGCTCAAACTATGAGGATGAGTGATTTTCACTCACCTCATAGTTCTCCTTTAAACATTTCAGCAAATGCACAAGAATAGGCTCCCCTGTACATACAAGACAGAAGCAACAATAAAACCTTGAACCCTTCTAGCAGATAAAGCTGATATAGCTCATTTTTCCTGGTGTTTTACTTTAATTTGTTCCTTATATTCTCAGTTTATTGTCCCCTCCACCCGCCATCCCTTTGCTGACACAGATACAAACTCTTACTGGGCTCCCGCTTTATGCAGTATGTTCCGCTCTAAAGTATGAAATGAATAGATTTACAGTAAGAAGATAAAATGTCTGACCCGAACTTGGTCAACTGCCGAAATGCATAATTGGCTCCAGGCGGACTGAGAGTCTTAATTCCCCCGCGCGGTATTAAGAGTCCGATGTCTTGTGCCACCCACTCCAACATCAGTTTGAAGAAAACTCAGATTTCTTTTGACCTAGTTACTGCAGCCGGCGGATCTCTACAAAGAGCTAAGTGCTGAATTATGAAAACTAGATCTGAGAAAAGTGGAGCCGTGGTGCCTGAATTGCTATGCTCGTCCAGTGGCCATTACAGAATGAAAGCTGAGACCTGATTGGTTGCTCTGGGCAACAGACCAATTTCCTAGGAGCTAAGGTTTGTTTTTTTTAATCCCAGCCACAAGAATCTTAAAGCCGGATTCCAGCCAAAATAAAAATGAACAGCCCTTTAAAAGATAAAATAACTTTAGCAGCCATATTCAATTTCAATCCAGAAATTTCCCATGCAGTACTTTATCCTGCCACTAGATGTCCTCAGTCTAATGGCCAGCCTCATTCCACCCACTTTCTCTGAGCCTGGTCATCCTGAACTTGCCCCCAGCCTGTGACTGGACAGTGAAGGGAGAAGCAGCACAGGGATGAGCTCATCTGTCACTTTGCTTTCTCTTCTTATCAGCATGCTCCTTGTCAACAAATGCACTGATTGGCTTCTTGTGCTGCTTCTTCCTTTCGCACTCCAGCCCTGCTGCACAAGGACTGAAAGAGGCTGATATCAGGTCAAATTCAGCTGGTTATACTGCTTGCATTCAAAAATACATATAATAAGGTATTAGTGATTACAGAGCTGCATTCATTTGTGGGTTTTTTTTATATCTGGTTAGAGTTCAGCTTTAAAGAAAACCTGTACTGAAAGAATAAAAAGGCTGCAACTAGTGACCTCTGCTTCTAAAAATGCTAGTTTCCTGGCTCTCATGCTGAACCGATGGCCTTAATGCTTTCTCGTGCACAGGCCAAAAACCACTATTCAGATCAGTGGTTCTGACCTCACTCTGACTATGCTTCTTTCAGGTCAGTGACACTGAAACCACAAATAGGTTTGCAATTGGCAATTTTAGAATGAAGACACCGGCCCTGTATTTGTATGTCAGTATATGTATCTAGGGCATGGCACGCATGGGACATGAGCTCTGAGGAAGGGTGAATTTCTCCCCCAAAACGCATCAGCTAGTTGGCCTCTTCTGGGACTTGCTTTGCATCCTATTTTTTCATTCTGTATGTTAACATGTGAGTAGTATTTTATGTTATATTGTATTACTCTATTTAATAAAACGTGATTACACAAGTAGAAGGCATTTGTCTGTTTTACTTGTTTTGCATATCTTGTGAGGATACCTCCCAGTGGCCAGAAGGACAGCAGCCATTCCTCTACTGCATTGATGTAGAAGAACCTTTGAACTGGGGTCAGATGAGCGCTGTGGTGTGCAGTTTCTTTGGATGCCCTGGGTGCCACTTGAAGGTGGGGGTGCCGCTGACCCATTGAGACAGCTGGCCTTTTTTTTTGCTCTTGCAGGTGCCCTGCCGAGCTCCTGGCAACCAGTGACGTCACTGGTTGCCAGGAGCTCAGCGGGATGCCATAGGAACATTTTATAGTAGATATGCCCCTGAGTATGAATGTCCTTTACAGTCTTAACATTCACTTTAAGATTCTTCTCATTCAGCAACTTTTCACTTTAAATGATCATTTGGGCCACAACTGTTATTTTAGCTTATGACATGTGATGGAATAAAATCAGCTCTGGCGGGGAGATATGAAATAAAAGTCACCATAGGAGACAGTGATAATGTAGGGAACAGTTTATATATTTTCGTGAGCGCACAGTTCATTTCAGAATTGGCATTGCAGCTCTTTCATTTAGATTATGGTGTTCTAGGAGTGCTGTTATAGTAGAATGAATAGACATAGCAAGCAAACATAATGTAAACCAGAGGAGGATGAGATTCTGCTTTTGTGTTCGAGGAGAAAGTAATGGAAAACCCTTTCATTTTAGATACAGGCCATGACCTTGAGACCACTCGAGCCAACAAAGACTTGGCAAGAGCCGAAAGAGTATACACAACCTAACACGCTACTTAAATCAGCTGTTAATCTTACCTCCTCTTTGTACCAGCAGTGTGACCTCACTTCCTTTTGGACATTCGATCAGCAAATCCACAACTTGATTATGAGTAAGAGTCTGCACATTCTTCTTGTTCACCTCCACAATGAGATCTCCTTCCTTGAGGCCGCGGCATCGAGGACTGTCTACAATCTGTTTAACTCTCTGTCCACCACCACCGGGACTATCGGCTATGGTGAAGCCAAATCCCATTGGTCCTTTCACTATATGCACTGTGATGAGTTCAGGTTGCGTTGCTATAGAGGATGCCAAGGAAACAGTGTCATTAGGGTAACCATGGGAACCATTTGAAGATAAGTCCGCTGGGCTGCTAGGCCTCTGCTCTTTTAAGTTATTGGCTTTCCTGGTTTTACTGCTGTTGCTTGATGGTGAGTCGTAAGTCTCTTGTCCATTGACAATAATAGGGTCCTTGTCCAGAATGGCCACCGATGTCACCAGACTTGTATTGGGATCATCAGGATCAAAAGGAAGCGGGTAACCTCGGCACAGTTCAAGGTCAACACTTTCACCGATTGGTATTGACTGGAAGATCTTCACAACTTGGGCATGGGTGTATCCGAGTACACAAGTGTCATTCACACTCACAATAACGTCTCCTATGGCAGATAAGAATAAAGATATTAGAGTTTTGACATTCCGTTTGTACTTGGTGAAATATCATGTCTATGAAAGAACCTATTTACCACAAAAAGACAAAAACTTTTAAGACATCTCCCAACCCTACAAAAGTCATATTTTTTTATATTATTTACGCGTGTCAAGCTTTGTGCCAGGCTTTAAAGCTGTCCCTTTTCTATGTTCCACAAACTGCCATCCCTTTATCTTTCGACTGGCTCGGTGGCCAATAAAGGCACTTTCATTAGACAGAAGAATGGCAGCTGCCAGGGTTTAGGCCTTAAGTCAGGAAAACAAGGCCTTTAATAACAACCCAAATAGCAAGGATAACTTGCTACAAACTTGTGGCAGGGTGAAATTGTAAATTTGTTAACTTGCTGCACATATTCCTGGCAAGTTGTAGACTTGCAGAACACTTGCAGCACAAGTTCTAGTTGACACTTTTTGAATTTGTAGCAAATTTGCTTGGCAAGTCTACAGCAAGAGTCCTGCAGGTCTTAGCAAGAGCTCTGCAAGCTCGCTGGTCTGGAGACTTGCAATGCAGACTTGCTGTAATTGTGCAACAAAAATGTGAAGCTTGGCAAGTCTGCAATAGTTTAGCAAGTCATTTTCAAACTTGCAGCTTAATTGCTTGCTATCTGGGAAAGTCATACAAGTTTCAGGGAGGCACACAATATATTTTAAGGCTAATAACTGTAATCCTGTGGTGTCTGCAGAACTTTTATTTTGAGGCTGATTCCACACCTTTATGTTGCAGTAACGCACTGTCATTCTGGATGGCACCTCAAAGTTAATGTTCGGTAGAAGCAGGGCCGGATTTACTCTCTCTGCTGCGCCAATGCCAGGTTCCTCAATGCGCCCCCCTGTATGCAGGCTGCATACAAATGATCTCGGTGACATCATTGAGATCACTTGAACAGAACAAGCGGCGGCTTCCCGCTGTACATTCAGCCCTGCTTGCCCAAAGCAGGGCTAAAGGTAGAAAACAACTAAGCGCCCAGTGAGTGCCCAGAACTGCATGTCCCGGGCGTCGGGAGATAGGAATTCCGCATCCCTGCTGCCCCTCTACTCCCTGCTGCCCCAAGGCCGGGCCTCGGTTGGCCTTGTGGGAAATCAGGCCCTGAGTAGAAGCAAATGCACTTGTACAATAGAGCACCACATTGAACAGATAAGAAGGCTCTGTGCATAGTGGTGAACTGCTTTGCCAAAAATAGTGCAGATATGTTTTTCTCTTGAGTAGTTGCATGTTGAGAGCCCATGCAAATGGAATTCAATGTGTTAATGCAAACACCCTCAAATTACAAATACTCATGTGATTGTTCGCACCTTATCGTACACAAAAGAAGCCTTTGGGATTTAGATTGGTTGACAGATTTGTTTTAAGTTCCTGTCAATGCAGATCTGTGTCTGGTACATCAGGTTGAAGATGTAAGATCTAATGTATGGTTCAGCGCGTTCTTGGAAGAAACATGGCAGTGCGTGTCACCTGGTCTACAGAAATCATGTCGGAGGTAGGCATGTGATCATGATCACTACTCTTGGTGTGACTGGGCCTCTAATAACAGCTGCAATACCCATGAAGGATACTGGGAGCTGATCACAAACAGTTTCTAAGTGGTGATAATTGTCAGTGGATATTGTACATCCGACAACACTAAACTTAACATGACAATCTCCAAAAGGGTATTTGGCACCTTAAACACTAAAACAAACATAGCACATTGGGATAAAACTAAATATATATTTATTTCCCCCTGTTAAAATCTATTCTTTATCTTGTTAAGGTCCTCTCCATGAAACGTCTAAAACTTGCCATACACTGTGTATCACTTTTCGTTAAGCCCCGCAGGCTGAAAGAGAAAAAAAGCTGGATTCCCCAAATCAGAATGTAATCGAGTCCAAATGGAGGGATGCCAACGGGGTCACATACTGCTTTTCCTACTGAGCAGATTATGGCCAGCTTAATTCCTGCATATGTTTACTTGAAGTATCAGCAGTGGCCTGTCTGTGTTCACTAAATAATCAGTCAGAAGTCTACCATGTAACTATGTGTGATGGTAGCAGATATAAATTGGACAGGCCATGGTTAAATGATTGATTTAAAGCTAAACACCAGGAAGTTGTCAAAGACACAATGAAGGCAATTATGCATTCATTAATAAATCATTACAACTCTAGTGCTAAATTGGACTTGGTATCGGCCTCTTGCAATCACGTATACAATAGCACTCACAGTGGGATAGAGAGGGGCAGGACCAGGAGCCAATCAGGTGTTACTTCATGCAAATATGCTAACAAGGAACATGCTGATAGAATGAATGAGCAGATGAATAGCCTTATCAGTCTGCTGCTGCTCTATCACTGTCCAGTCAGCAAGTTAGGAGTAAAAAGAAGACACACCCCTGTATCCCTTCTATGCCCTATATCTGTAGCAGAGAAAGTGGTCTCCTTTGCCAGGCAAGGACATGTAAATATCAAAACTAAATGTAAAAAAGACTCCTTCCATGTCAACTGTGTATTTAGTGGTTTGCCTGGAGTTTAGCTATAAAGGTCATGTAGCTCAGTCTTATAACCTAGTAGCAGTTGTATGTGCATATCCAAAGAGTTTGTTGAGGATGCCCTTTGAAAGAGCAGCAATAATTAAAGTGGCACTAAACTCAGGAGTTATGTCATAAGAATGCATTCAGGTTCCTTAACTATTAACAAAAATGTATCTTATTTGTGTATCACTCGGCTGTAGATCCTCAAATCACTTCTGCGTACGGACATTGTCCTTTCTTCTGGAGGGTGGCTACTTTTGTTCCCCATGGTCCCTGTGTGTGTTGTAAAGTAGCCACAGCCCCAAGCTCGCTCACGTGATAGGCTACAATCTCAATACAAATGAATAAACTAAACATGAGATTGTAGTCCATCATGGGAGTGAGCTTGGAGGGGTGGCTACTTTACAACACACACAGGGACCATGGGGAACAAAAGTAGCCACCCTCCAGAAGAAAGGACAATGTCCGTACGCAGAAGTGATTTGAGGATCTACAGCCGAGTGATACACAGATAAGATACATTTTTTTAATAGTTAAAGTACTTGAATGCATTTTTAAGATTTAACTCCTGAGTTAATTGTCACTTTAAGTTACTCCCCCTTTGACTTCCTATATTTTTCCATGCATTGTTGGGTATCTTAAAAAGAAAAAAAGACGCACTATTTAGTTTTATTTCCTTCCCCTAGCATAAATGACTTGTTAATTGCATTTTAGTTTGAGATTCTTTTAATCTGCTCTATATGGCCTTTATGCCTAACAAAGAGGGACAGGCAGCTACATAGGTGCCTAGGACACTTGCAGCTGCCCAAAATGCCACACTTACTAAATGTAATAGAAACATAAAAGGGTGATATTTGGGTTAAACTGCAGCTATTTCAGGACCATAAGGAGTAAACAAAAAACTTTACAAGAATTTGTCAAACTTTCTATTTTGTATATCTCTTATCAATGTATTATTCTTTACATTCAGTAGTAGTTTCAGGCCCTCGCTTAACTTTGAGGAATTGAGCCAAAAATCTCCTGCCATATGTTTACCTCTAAGTTTAGCAATTTCCCAAAATGGTAAAAATTGCCTACAATGCCCTTTAAAATATGAAAGAAAAGTATCCATCTGGCATCTCAAAGTAGAGGTTTCTGAAGTATGATTATAGAGTAAACCAATGCATTTTCAGAGCTTTCTGTCGGAAATCAGCAGGTTGGTTAAATAGCTGAGCACACAGCCTTTTCCCCCAACCAAAGCAGCAAACATTAATCGTGCATCTTACAGCCCAATTTTATCCATATATGAATAGAACGGATTGCTAATGTAATCAGTTTTTTAAAGGTTTATTCCTGTCAGAATCAACATTTCTTTTAAAAATACAGGGTCTGCTTTATAGAGTCAAGATAATATTACCCGTTTCCATCTTTCCATCTAGAGCAGCAGGGCCATCGAGAACCAAACTTTTTATCTGCAAGAACTCGTCTGGCTCATCTCCGCCAACCACAGTGAAGCCGAAACCTCGGGTGCTCTTCCGTAGTTTTGTGTTAATAAATTTGCCTTTTAATTCAGATGGGTTCCTGGTGAAGAATGGTTTAACTACAAGAGAAAGAAAAAAAAAGTCATACGTTGTATTTTATTTTGGTAATGAGGTTACGACAGACTGAATAAGCCATTCAGAGCTGGGATTTTTTTTATCTGAGGGGGAGAGTAAATATAAAGCCAGAAATAAATAAGGGGGAAAAGAGTTCTGTCAGAAACAGAAAATCGCTTTTAGCTGCCTTTTTCATACACAAGACACTGCAGTTTTCTAAATTAGACCCTAGAGCAACTAGAATGAACAAGCTGAACTTTATTGTATTCTAAAGCAGGCCACTAACCTAATATTATTATTATACAGGATTTATATAGCGCCAACAGTTTGCGCAGCGCTTACTAATAGCACAGAGCACAAATATGGCCAGTCACTGAACCAATAACTTTTCCCTTTGGATCCCTTTACCATTCTGCAAAATCAACCTCTAGACCCCACTCTCATGCATTCAAAGGGATAAGCTCTCTCTCATATCTCCATAGCTCTGTGATCAGAGAGGTCTTCTTCACTGAAAGAACTCTAAATTAGAGGACAATTCATTATGGGAGCCAGTGAGAGAGGGAGGCCTAGGGGGTCTACACTCCTGTACATGGCAATATAGGCAACTAGTGAACAGGTAAGGGGCACCCAAGCAATTATTTGCCCATTCAATGTTTATATTTTTTGGGGAATATGTTTGGTCCTTAGCAACAGATAATTTGGAACATGCATTTGTGTAGCATTTGTAGATGTATAACATTGTCATATTTTTTAATACAGGAAGAACAGGATTTCCTGGCCTGACCATTTTTGTGGTACCTTAATCAAAAAGTTGAGGAACCCTGAACTACAAACAGTGTATGAACTAATCTGGAAATATTCTGCTTTGTAACCCGGCAGGGAATACAGCATTCTAACCATCCATAGATTTTTATTGAGCAGTCAGGTACTTCCGCAGCCCTGTATTACAGTGGAACCATAGAATCGTACCGTGGGTGGAAGGGTCTTTTGTTGGTTCCTTCTTTTTGGGAGTGAGGTTGTTGGGCAGAGTGAGAGGCGGAGGTATGGCAGGCATAAGCACTCCTGGCCAATCTGTTGGCATAAGAGACAGTGAAGAACACAGTTAACGCATACTGTTACTCATACTTATGCAAAGATACATTGAAAAGGATGCAATTGGCACAGCTCTGTTCCTGAACAATGAACATAAATTATTCAGCATGGCTGTAACCAGTGCGAGGATTGAATTACATTGTAACAGTCCAGCCACAGACAGAATTGTCACTTTAACTAGATTAGAAGATTATAAACTTTAGGGAGACATATTTCATATACTTAAAATGTGTGCACATATGTTTATATACACTATATAGCCAAAAGTTTATGGACACCTTCTATATGGACAAACATATATAGAAATCCCTCCAAATTACTGAGTTTAGGGGTTTCCAGTAAAGGGTTCTATTATTGCTACAGCATACAACACAAAAATGTTAGACAATCGTGCACCTCTAACCTTGTGGCAGCAGTTTGGTGAAGGCCCTTTTCTTTTCCACCATGACTGCTTCCCAGTGCAAAAAGTCAGCTCAATAAAAATATGGTAGGATGAGTTTGGTGAGGAGGGACTTGAGAAGCTTGCACAGAGCCCTGGCCTCAACCCTAACAAGTACCTTTGGGATAAATTGGAATGCTGACTGCAAGCCAGGTCTTGTCCAACATTAAAACTTGACCACACAAATGTTGTTTTGGCTTGACTGGCCACGAATTTCTCCCCAAAGACACTCCAAAATCTCATGGAAAGCCTTTTCTAGAAGAGAGGAGGCAGCCAAGAAGGAGGTGGGATGGGGACTTTATAATAATGTCTATAGGGGTGATGGTCAGGTGTTCACAAACTTTTGGCCATACAGGGTTTTCCATGCACCTGGTGCTCTAATATGCAAGTAGATGTATCAGTGCTTGAGGTTGTGCTTGACTCTATCCCTTCCCTTGTGTCACCATTGGTCCATTGCTATCAGTGCCATGCTTGTATATTTACTGGTCTTATCCAACCTCCCTGCCTTTGTTATTTTCAGACATTACTGTAAAGAAAAAGCAGTAGTTAAAAAACTTTAGTTGGTTTAACCAATCAGTCTTTGCATAGGACTTCTTCCTGGTCTTCATATCTTTGCTTATGTACTTCCAGACACAAATCAATGCAACTCTGTTTTCATTAACAAATCATTAAGTGTTATTTTTTTAAATGTATGCATTAAATGTAACTTGATATCAGCATCTTGCAGCCCCTATACAGAAGAGCTCAGACTTGAGAAGGGAGAAGCAGCACATGAAGCTAATAAGATAGAGCTAGTATAGAGATGTGTATTTCTCAGGACTGGATGGAGAAATATACAAATACTTTGGTAGGTAAAAAGATTCCCATATTTGTATTTCATCTGTATATACGTCCATTTGCCTGGAGTTCAACTTTAAAGGCGTCAACTTTTCCCATTTTAGAAAGTCAGAAGTAAATGTATCCATTAAGGGCTTGTTCACACCAGCAGCCGCACTCTACCGCACAGCTGCAGGAGTGCGTGTGCAGTGCCGATGCTCGATCAAGCCGCATTGCACTGTTCCTTTTAGAACCTTATTGAAATGTCACGAGACATGACATTCTATGGGCTTACCAATGTGCCATGCGATGGTACCATGTCTCAGTGTGGTGCGCGTAAAAAAAATACTGCATGCTATACATTTGTTAAGCACACACCACCAGAACAAAGTGGTGTGAAGTGTCACAATCCATGACAAGGCACATTGCCTTGCATTGCGTTTAGGTTGCGCTGGAAAAAACAGCCAGAGCAGCCCAAACGCTGATGATATGAACGAGCCCTAAAGGACTTCATCAGATGGGCAGATTTCATTAAAAAAAAATAAGGACTGTCCCTTAAAAAGAAAAATGGAGCAGCTGACAGCCATGTAAGCTCCCAGCCATATTACACACACCGTACAGTACAGATGACTTCCCTTGAGGCGATATATTGCGAACGCTCTGTACAAAGGAGCCAGCATAACAATGTAAACACTACACAACATAATGTGCAAACGTGTGAACAGCTCCTCGGTTACACGTGCAAATGCAAATGATGCCAGCGTCTAGGGATTTGTTTCATTATTTGCAGTCTGTTCTTGGAGACGTTCATCTCTCAGTCCTCAGAGCTGTGCATTATTTGGCTCAGGGAGCCCCCCTGTGGAGCAAGTACTCAGGGTGACCTTAGCAATGCAATAATTAGAATCTAGACTGAAAACACAGCGATGGAGATGCTTAAAGGGGGGCAAGGGATGACACACTACATAGGGGCTCCAAAGGATCAGGGGGGGGCTTATTTAATGTACAATCCTGTCATCGGCTGACAATGACACATTGAATACAGTAACCTACGAAGCTAGTTTCATTTATCAATCAAGTAACCAACAGAATTGGGTGCAGTTCTAGAGCAATTTCAGCCACATTTAAAGTGCATGTAAACTCTAAAAATTAGCTTTGTTTATTTGCTCCCTTTTGGTGTGTTAAATACACCATTAAAAGTGTTTTATTATATCTATTTGATAAGTGCAGAAAAATCTGTTAATCCTGCCAAAGCCAGCAAACTAACTTCATATAGTATGCTGACAATGGTGCACTGAAATCCTACGCAGTGCTGTCAACCATGAGTTCTTCCTTGCTGGACTACAGAACACCTCCTCTTCTTCTCATCTCCATAACATAAGAGAAAAGTGTTTTGCAGTCCAGCAGGTAAGGGCTCAAAAAACAATGTATGGAATTTCAGTGCAGCAGAGGTTGTCAGCTCAAATATGAAAGTTTGGAGCTCAACGGATTTCCAGCAAATCAACAGGTATTGTTTAGCCCATGAAGCATTTATAAAAAGACAAAACATAGGAGGATGTGCATGTATTGCAAAGATCTACTGAATTTTTTTTATTTATTTTGCCCCGAAATACTCTTCCAGGCACTATTCCAATAACCTTTGCTCTACACATAATGTCCTATACTTCATGTTCTTTCAGGACTTCTTCCGGCAAGCACATAATCAAACCCAAGACATTCTCTTTACCCACAGATCCAGCACTATCTTCTCTTCTTCTATCTGACAAAGCATACACCATCTCTTATAAAGCTTATTCATTCTTTTTGTTTCTGCTTATGACTCTAGATAGTGAGCTTGGGCTCTGAAGATTCTCTCTCCTATTGTATTATGTTATTACTAACCATATTTGATTATATAACTGTATGTACTTGACATTGGAAAGGTTTTATGGTTTTGTATTCTATTTTTGTTCAACCTTGCTGGTATCACTTATGTAGAGCACCAGAGAAAATGTTGACACTGCATACATTGCTAAAATGGGAACTGTTGTCTTTTAAATGAAAAAAAACCCCAAAAAACTACATGCAAGTGAAATAGCTCAACTTTTTTAAATAATACACGATCAGCCATAACATTATGGCTACCCGCCTAATATTGAGTTAGTCTCAATTTTGCCACCAAAACAGCCCTGAACCGTCGAGGCATTGACTCTGACTCCACTACACCTCTGAAGGTGTGCTGTTGTATCTGGCATCAAGCACTCAGTAGAGGCATTTTAAGATATGCAAGTTGTGAGCTTGTGCCTCCTTCGCTCCCCATGTGCATCAATGAGCCTTGGCCACCCATGACCCTGCTGCTGGTTCACTGCTTTTCCTTCCTTGGACCACTTTTGGTAGGTCCTGAACAACGCAGACCGAGAACATCCCACAAGAGCTGCAGTTTTGGAGTTGCTCTGACCCAGTCATCTACCAATCATGATTTGGCCCTTGTCAAACTCGCTCAAATCCTTATGCTCATTCCTGCTTATTAGGGATGCACTGATATCAAGTATTTGGGCAAGTACGAGTACTCGTGCAAATGCTCCCGATGACTGACCCGATACTGGAACTTCCAGTATCAGCAAGCCAGGCAGCGAGTCGTTACACACTGCCCAAGTTACCTGATTGGAACTTATTTTAGTTTGTTTTTTTCCTCAAAGCAAGAACAAGTTTTTTTACTCAAAATAATATCATACTCTGGTAACACTGCCCCGTAGCTCATTCACTTTTAAGGACCAGTCCATCCAAAAGTAAAATAATGGCTATAGGTGACCTATTATAGGTTCCTGGCTCTGTTCTCTTCTAGATGCTTTGGGTGTTACTGCACACCTTGAGTTGTCTCCACTCTTTCTGATGTGTACTTCATGGCGTAAAGAAAAAAAGTTCTAACAGACAGAGTAGAACCATCTCATAATGGCTGTGGGCAGGAGTGCAGAACCTTAAACTCCAGTTCAAAGGTCTTACCGCCAGAGTCCTTAAAAGATATAAGACACCATAAGGTGTTTCAGTTAAACTGGAATATCCATTTTTGGAATGACTGACCCTTCGATGACAGGTCCATTGTAGTAATAAAAACAAGTAGCGTGAGCCAGATTGCTATAATGAGAGATATTTCTCTCTTCCACTTATCATTTGGGCTCCTCTGTAGAGGGAACACACTTCCCAGTAAGAATCAAACAGTCATGGATCACTTTGTTCTGGTAGAACCAGAGAAAATGTGCCAGTGAGGATGCAGCTTGAGCTGGCTAGAAAATGGTGAGATGTGTCAGACCAAACAGGTAACTGGCCCTTCAGGCTTCATGAAGACACCTTTCCATGTCCCTGATTAAAGCAGTCTGTCAAGGTTTGACAGCAAGAGGACAAAAACATGGAGCTATGATAATTAATGAAAGGTCAGCCAAGGCTAAAATCGGTCATGCTGACCAACGAGAAATTAACATGCAGGAAGAGCAATCCCATAGACCTGAATAAAGTGCATCTAAAACTAAATGTATGTTTTTATATTTTTGGTAGTGTAGAGCAGGGGTAAGCAAACTTCAAATTCCACCAGGCATTGAAAGGTTCAAGCAGGACTCAGGAGGCAGATGCATGATAGGCTTTGTAGTTTCAACAACACAGCCGGAAGGTCGAAGTTTTGTAACTCAAAACTTTTGATATTCCCTAACATTCTGTCCCCATGGACAGTCTTAAAAGTAATTACATAGTTACATAGTATTTGAGGTTGAATAAAGACATATGTCCATCAAGTCCAATCTACTGTGTATGTGTGTATGGTCCTATTGGTGTGTAGTATGTATAGGTCCCTGTGTGTTCTCAATTTTAAGAGTACTTGCACCCCTGTATATTACGGTCCCTGAGGAAATCATCCAGTCGCCTCTTGAATGATTCCACACTCTCAGCCGAAATCACAGCATGTGGCAGCGCGTTCCAGACCTTGACCGATCTAACTGAGAAGAAACCCCTTCGCCCCTTGTGCTGAAATGTTTTCTCCACCAATTTTAAGTGGTGGCCTCCCGTCCTTTTCATCGAATTAATTGTAAAAAGTTTGCTGCTAATGTTACTATCCCTGGTAAACATTTTATACATGAAAATCATGTCCCCCCTTAATATCCTTACTTCCAAGGAGAACATGTTTAATGTTAGTAGCCTGTTCTCATAGCTCAGGTCCTCCATACCCCTTTATGAGTTTGGTTGCCCTCCTCTGCACTCTTTCCACTTCAAGGACATCCCCTTTGTTCACTGGTGCCCAAAACTGGACTGCATACTCCAGATGAGGCCAAACCAGTGATCTATAAAGTGGCACAATTACAGACTTGTCCCTGCAAAACATTCCCCTCTTAATACAGGAAAGGACTCTACTTGCTTTGTTTACCGCAGCCTGACACTGCGAGCTACTATTCAGCCTGTGGTCTACAATGACCCCCAAATATGTTTCCCTTTCGGACTTTATGACAAAACACCAGCTTCCCAGGCATTCAGGAAGCCTTCCGGCTTCCTCATAATCAGGGCTCACAGATGCCAGCATCGGTATCGACGAGTACGAAAAAAGAAATATCAGTACTTGCACTCGATACCAAAAAACTGGTATTGGTGAATCCCTAACCGAAAAGGTGATAATTAAATACATATTTTATTAACAGGCCTATGCAGCATTATAGGATATTATTTAATATTTGGTAATTGTGATTTGGTGTTTGACTTCTGCCTTCAATTACCAATATTAATCTTGGAAATTGATCAAAAGCATATTTAAACATTTCTATGTGGTGGTGGCTGTGTAAGCCTTTTGAGTATATTCTATGTCAAAGTTAAAGTGACACTATACTCAAGAGTTAAATCTTAAAACTACAAAACAAACAGAGACCATGGGGAACAAAGGTAGCCCCCCTCGAGAAGGAAGGACAGTGTCGGCACCAATTCAGAGAGGATTTGAGAATCTTTTGGCTTAAGATACACTTCAAAGTCCAACTCCAGCCGAAACTTTATTTTGCATGTGACAAAGGGTTACAGCCATTGTCAGGTTTTTATTGCCATCTGTATCTCTCTTGTGCAGATTTCCCAACACTTGTAGTCAGAACAGGAAATGATGGCGAAACTATTCAACTGGAACACAGACAAAAACAAAAAGTCATTTTGAGTGACGAAGGGTTAGAACTACTTGCAATGTTTTTATTGCTGTCTGTGCCTCCAGCAATGACCACAATCCCAATTTCTTATATGATTGTCACAGGGACAGGAAGTGAGGGAAAATCTATTCAAAACGGACAAAGTTATATATAAAAACCCAGCAAAAATGGTGACTCTTCCCCACTTTATTCTAAAAAAAAAATTTGCTGAAGTTAAGAGGGCCAACAAGAAAAATCACACAGCTCCCCAAAATACATCAAAGAGCATGGGTGGAGGAATCTCTATTGTATCCTGACAGCCAGCGCCTGCAGTGACTGCATCTGATTAGCTAGTCACTGATCAGCTGACAATTTTACATTCCGGAACCTTGGCAAAAGTCTACTGAAAAATCAACTTTTGTTGAGCTGTGTGGTGCCAGCAGAGCTGCTCACAGCTCAAATTTCGTCCTATTCAGTAGAAAATGGCCCATGCAAATTTGATCCATGTATGGCCAGTTTTATGCTTTGCAGCAAAACAAAAAGATGGGAACTTTTCTGTAAACTGCTTAGAAAATTTTTTTTAGATTTATGTTAATTGACAAAAGCATGAAAACTGCCAAGATCATCTAGTGCTTCCTCCTCGAACATCTCCACGCCTACAGAAGAGTCTTCACTGGTAATGAGGACAGATTTACACAGTTTCACATTCACGGATAAATGCATGAAAGTCTATCGCGCCGTATGTAGAAGTCACAGTCTGTGAGATAATCTGAAACAATTTTCACACTTGAGCTTTGTACAACCCGCTAAGGGCGAAATATTCCTGTCTGACACATTTTGTTTTTTGTTGTTAAAGGAAACTTACAAAGACAGAATTCTGCCAGCGCCGACTTTTGCTTAGTGATATAGTGAACTCAAGATAAGCATCACATGCCTAAGACCCTCCACTTTTAAAAAAGGTCAGCAATTTCCATATTCCTATCCTGACAGGGTCAGTTTAAAGAATTTTGGGGGTAATCATGATTCAGTGTTTGACTTCTGCCTTCAATTACCAATATTAATCTTGGAAATTGATAAAAAGCACATTTAAACATTTCTATGTGGTGGTGGCGGCTGTGTAACATGGATAATCTAAAACCCTATGCTATATAGAATTCTATTATAAGAGATCTGTTGGGTAAGAAACTTTCAGTCAACATACTATTTTGCTGAAGCACTTGCATGTTCACGTCTTTGCAGGGAGGAGGCTGTTAGCAGGTCATCTGGGAGTGATGAGTGAGGTCTGCAGCAGATCTCACTAATCACACCCAGATAACCTGGGATCGATCCTCCTCACATCATTCTTTCTTTCGGCCGGAGCTCAGAACTGTCAGAGCTCCGGCCGAAGGAAGCCAGAGCAAGTACGATCTGCCTGTCCAAGATAGGCAGATCGTACGTTTTTTTAATTACCTTACAACCATCGCAAGACAAAAGTCTTGCGATGGTTGTAAGGTGTGTGCCCAGCCTAAGACTACTGCGTCTGTACCTTATTACCTTATTAAAGAATATTATTTTTTCCGTCAACTAAATCAAAGATGAACTGGTATTATACATGATGTTGTTACAATCTCAAGTGGCATGCCAGATGTATAACCCTGGGATATTATAACATTATAGTCTAGTGGTTTTATATCATTATCCAGAGACAGAACTTCTTGGTGAGTCATTAATTTCCTAAAGACACCACTAGGAGGTCCAACACCACATAATAATATTGTGAGCTGCACTGTCAGGGGTTCTGCTTATCGCATGGAAAAAGCCATGTATATTGTTTTGATAAAGTAATCGTGTCTGAGCGAAAGCATATTATTGACCTAAACAGTCTAAACATTCTACTGCTTACAGCGTTGACAAAGGCAACTTACTCTACATAGTAGACGCCATACACAGGATCTTCAATCTTCTCCCATCCAGCAGGCAGCTCTGTGGAATAAAAAGGGAAGCAATGATCACATCGGCCAAGAAAATTATTATCTAAAATGTTTAATAGTATACGGATCACGATTGGGAACATAATAAATCTAGCAAAATTAGCATTTTAATATGAACAAAATGCTCAGCATTCATAAACAATGGCCTGAAATGCTTTAATTAAATCTGCTTCATTAAAGCATAATGCCACCCAAAATTATTCACTTTTATTTTGAGTGGAAGATGAAGAAGATATTGGTGGTGGAAATGTACATAAACCCTTACAGTTCAAATGAGAACATCGGGAGCTGTTAATTTTGTTCCAGCAATTATTTCCTATCTCAGTGTAATTTGATCTTGCCTAATAGAGGTCGAAGTCAGACCCACACAAATCAATGGGGAACATTCCTACAACAGGACAGAAAGGAAACACGGGAGCAGGAAGAGGAGATCAAACAACAGGGTATGGCCTTACAACCATAGTGCCCCATCAAACTATACCAATCCTGAAATTTATAATACTAGATGTACTACTACTACTACTCTACTATAATGTACAACAAATAGTCATTGGACCTATGACACTCTGCAGGCATCGCTACGCTACAGTATATTTTACTATGCTAAGTCTCGCTGCAATGACTACATAAAAAATGAATCGCTCCGTTGCAAAAATCTATACCTACATAAAGCAATGTAAAAATGAAATATAATCAATTTAAATATTTTGGGGGAGACAAGCATAGATTTTTATGAGACCTTTCTGATTATCTCCAACCTTGGGACACAGCCCTATAGCCGTCTTTGGAACCATCTCTGGCCTCAGGACACAGCCCAATAGCCGTCTTTGGGACCATCTCTGGCCTAGGGATACAGCCCCATAGCCTTCAAAAGGACCATCCATGATAGTTTCCGGAGAAACAACCCCATGGGACCTTCTCCGATTGTCTTCACCCTTGGGTCATAGCCCCAATAGACGTTTGAGGGACCATCCCTGATCATCTCCAGACTCAGGAAACAACCTCAAAGATTTCTATGAGACCTTCTCTGATTGTCTCCAGCCTCGGGACACAACCCCCTAGAAGCAGCAGCTACAACATGTCAGCTCCCGGTTTTCAAATTAGCAGAACAAATGAAAATCTGGGTTTTTTTCTTTTCTTTTAGAACTACCTTAGTAAAGTTCAACAAAATACAATATTGAAGTTATTCATCTGGTGGGCTGTGCACAGGGGGACTCAAGCAGAGAGCTCCCACCACTGAAGCTCAGAGAGAAATCAATAGGTAGTTTAACTCCATGGGATCCACCAAGATTAGAAGTATTACTTTTGAATCGCAAGTGTACTGCAAGTCCAAATGTTTTTATTTTCTACATATAAGGGTAGGATATGGGTAAAAGGGCATTTTTTGTTTGTTTGCTTGGAGACACAACAGAAAGTCACAGGAAATCTTTCCAAAGGAAGGGAAAATCCCTTCTTGAATAATTGTCATCAGAACAGGTGCCCCCATGGAAATACCCCCCCCCCCTCACTTCCTGTGACATCTATAAAAATTTGTATTTCCTATAATTTTGTCTCAAAGAACAGAACAAACAGAGAGTGATTCTCTTAGCCAAATTAAACTAATTTTAATCTAAAAAGCTGACAGGGGTTCTAAACCTTCCCCATTCTATCCAAGGCATAACAAGAATTAAACGTTTTGGTGTTAAATATGCTTTAAATATGGCCACTGTGCTGAAATTACAGCCAGCTTGTGTTCACGGGCACAAACAGAAAACACGTTTACACAGTGACAGCCAAATTCATCTACAGTAACATAAGGGTAGGAGCAACTGCAGTCTAAACTCCATCAAGACATAAAACACACAGAAAATAATTAGAAGATGTTTTCATTGGCTTTTGGCGGCAGACCAGAGGAATGCCATGCTCGCATGCCTCTGTAGTCTGTCAATTCACAACAGAAAGTCATCGGTGCTCCACTTAATAAAGGCGAAGGGCTCTCGGCAAAGCATTTAAATGCATATAATATTCACACTAAACTGCTTCCAGGGTCTAAATCACTAGTTTTCTTGTGAAAGTTGTATCTGGACTTGTTTTGGTGTTCTTTAAATGGGCTCTTAACTTTACTAAATATAAAAGTAAAGAAATCCCCTGCCTAACCTGTTGCCACCGGCTGTACAAATATACGTGGCAGCACAGCAGTGGGCTTTAACGTTGCAGGGCCACATAATGTATATGCGTACAGCCAGCGCTGCTGTTTTGTGCTTTCATTTGGCACACCCAGCACTGTGTCAGTGGGATGGGGAATGTGCCAACCAAAACTGATTGAGCTGGGGGGGTAGAGCCAGTTTGCACAAGCTCCTGCTGGGGATGCCAAATGAGTGCAGTCACAGTGCTGGGGCATTAAATGAGAGCAGTTACAGTTCTGGGGGTGCCGAGTGGTTGCAGACACAGTGCTAGGGGCGCCAAGTAAGCAATTTTGCAGCACAAAACAGCAGCGCATCCCTACTTCCAATTGCTGTGTTCAGTCGGGAGCCGGAAGGACAGGGGACAGGCTTCTGATCACTAAAACAGCCAAATCACAGTGATCACATGATCAAGAAGCCCAGCAAATGCCTCTGGCGTTAAGAGCCACTTAAAAGGCCGGTATAAGCCGGCAGTAAGGGGTTAAGGATGACCTAAAATCAAAACATCTAGAATTATTAATTGTTGTTAAGCAGTGCCCTGAAAAATCTACCTTTTGCCTTGAAATCGTCCTGAAAAGTAGCAGGCATTTGAGTGGCTTGAGCGTCATAACTACATATCTGCAGTGTGAGATCATCTAAAGCACTGCTGCTTTGAACAAATTAAGCAGTGCCAGTGTGCATGTCAGATAACGTAACACAACGGAATGGAGAGGTGTGAACTAGCCATATTTATACCCATTCATTTTTCGGAGCCCTCCCGTAAGCATCCGTTAAAAAGCAAACAATTGCAATGGAACCGGTGTGAATGGGCCCTCATAGTTCCCCCACCCCTGTGTCCCCGCCATTTGCACTTTCGTGTTTTCAGGTGAATAAGAAGAAGGGTTTTTTTTTTTTTACTGTTTTTAGGCTTGAGTATTTTTGTTTTAGCCAATGGAATTTAGGCCAGTGGTTAGTAGAAAGATGGTTAAGTCTGTGGGGCCAGAAAGCCTAAGATTTTGTCCAAAAGAAGCTCCTGTACTTTTTTGAGCTGCAAGTGGCACAACGCTCAGGTGTGAATGGGATTTATTGAAAATAATGGGGTTCTTCATGCTGGCCACTGTCACGCTTCGTGAAACAAGCAACAAAATGCTCAGGTGTGAATGGGTTCTGACACCCTCATTTTTGCTGGTCAGCTTTGTCTGTGTTTAAATGTAGAGGTCCATAATAAGTAAAGACATGAGAAGCTGCATCCAGTTAGTAGTAGAAAGATAGATGGCGGTCCTTTAAATTTACAACTCTTCAGCATGCTTGGCCAGTAGCACAAACCTGACCGAACTGGAGTACGAGGCTAAATCAAATTTTCTTTTCCATCAAATTCAGAATCAGCATTATTTGCATCATCTTTACGGTTTATAATCAGCCTCTGAATTGTGGAATCCGGCCTATCGGTCACGTTCCACCAAGCAAACTAATTTTGTAAAATCATTCAATTGCTGGAGGGGCCCAGGTTGGATTTGTGTCTCTGAGGCACTCTCTCTTGCACTGGCGGAGGAAGGCGGCATGTTAAATAATCAAACCGAGCACATTGTGCATGCTCCGCTATTGAAGTGGACTTCATGGAGTGCAATTAGTCATTTTTAATTCTCTATTAGTTCTTCGAATGTATCACTTCAGTTCCATCTAAATGGAGAGGAAAATATTAAAAGGCACCGAAGCAACACTAAATTCATAGAGCTGTTTAATTATATTCCACTAAATTTATGTATTATACTAGCTCACGCAACAGGCAGTGACTTTATATTGCTAAGAAGGAAAAATCACTTTTCCTTAAACTGAATTGTTCCAATAGAGGTCTTTTATTTGATTGCGGCCTTTCTGTGTGGTAATATGGAGGGGTCCTTACCTGACATAGATCCTAGTAATCAGCAGCTGGACCAGTCACACCCTCCATATAGGGAGCCATTGTATTTAAAGCTAAACTCCAGCCTTCCACAGTTGTACTGGCTCCTCTACTGTAGTGAAACAGCTTAGTCTGATTTCATTGCACACTGTGGGGATGTCCAGCATCATCTAGACTTTTCTTTCCCAGCTATACAGTCCCAGTTTCATTCCTTTCATTCATTGGATTTGAGTTATTTCAATCTTGGGAGACTCAATATTAAATTTGGAGTTTAAATACAGTGGCCTGCATGCAAATTCCTACTCCTCCAGACTGACATTCCCCTATCAAGACATTTTCATATTTGCATAACTCTTCCCAAGAGTCAGCTCATTGCTTGCATGAGGGCTGAGGCCTCTTGAGAAGAGTAATGAAGCGGGGTTCTGTGATGTTTTCAGGAAGCTGTATACAGCACCCTGCCAGCCCCTCCCACCAGTTATGATCTGCTTGCATTTCACAGAGACCCAATGATGATGTTGTTGGGTCTATAATAAGCTATTTAATGAAATCAGGAAGATTGTATTTAAAAATGTCATTAGCATACTAAGGAAGAGGGATTGAGGACTTAGGGAAGGCAAAATATAAGCAGATCAAACTTCAGCTTTAAAGGGTGTGATGTAATATACATGGAGATGCTGCAGGTGAAATCTGGAATGCAGAATGGACCTTTGTCACATGCAGAATAGAGAAACACCCCTGTGTTACCAAACTGATGGGGAAAGGAAGGGGTGGGATGGAAAAGTTAAATGATAGGTGTATATTTAATACAGTTGTCTTATAAAGGGGACCAGAACAGAATAATTGAAGATTTGCTACACCTGAAAATTTTAGTACCCTGACAATTGACTTTTTATCATGTATTCCTCCTAAATAAGTTATGCAGAAAAGATCAGCCACAGGAAGCCTAAAAAATGGACTTGTGGATAGTCCATTATCTTCTGCTTGCATTTTTGGGCACAGCTTCCATAGTTTAGGTCTCTTAACTGATCACCCCCGCCTCCCCTCTTAAAGTCCTATACTCACCTACTCATCTACTGGAAGCCATACAGATGACGTTGCAAGGTCTCCCAGCTCTGTAGCTATGTCTGTCCATGCAAAAAAAAAAAAATTCCATGCTATTTATTATGCATCCCAAAGTTATATGGCCTTTCTATAGAAATAAAAAGGAGATTGTTGCATGCACAGAAACAGCGGCTTGGCCAGGAGACTTTTGCAGCGGTGGCTGTGCAGCTCCCAATGGCCCGCACTGCATAGATCCAGCAAAATGTACATAAGTGTGTGATAACAAGCGTAGGCGATCATCGCTTCATATTGTGAGGGATGCTCTAACCAGGGAGCATTAGCTATAATTACCTGGTTGTTTATGGCCACCTCTAACTGCCCGAATGAAGTATTGATAATCCTATCACTATTATTAAGCGGTGATTTGAAAAGTGTACAATCATTCTCCACCGTCTGAAATAGCAGAGGGATGGAGGATGACTATATATATTCTCTACCTGTAGGTGTCACTCAAGGTCCCACTTCTGGATCCTGACATAAAATGGTGTACAAATAGCATAAAAATAACCTGCCAGACGTTTTGACCCTTGTCTA